CAGTGCGCCGTTCCCCCCTTAGCGAGGACACAGGCCAGGAAATTAAAGGAGGTGGAGACAAATAGTATCACAGCTGAGCTAGAGATTGACCCCGGTTCAGGATTAACTTCAGTGGGGGTCAGTTAAGGGGCTAAGTTTCCCTATGACGTCATATTAGATAAGTATTAAGGGCATCTTTGTGTTCAGGAGAGAGCCCCAAGCACGGCCCAGCATGTGGTTTAATGCTCATGTTGAAATTCTTAATCATTGTGAACATCGCACTGGGGCTTGCAAAGTGTGTACCTGGTCCTTGTCTGGTGTGGGGTGCACAGGTATTGCCGACGTGCACACTGTTCAGAAAGGGAGGCTGAGCAGGTTAGAGGACTGTTTTATGGGGACCCTGCTGGGAACAGCTAACTCCAGCCCCGAGGGGCTGCACCTTGCAAACCAGTGTTTACTCTGAATTCAATGGAATGTGCCCCTTCTGAGGGGGGACAATCCGTAACTGCCCCATGCCTTCTGTGATGAGCCCCTCAACCCTCTTTGTACCCACGAGAACTGGGGCCCAGGCTGGGCCCAGCGGGGCCCGAGTGTGGAGTCTAGTCATCCTTCCTGGAGTGGTTTGAGTGGAGGAGGGAGGGTTCCGCCCAGGGACGCTGGGATGGGGGGAATATCATGCTGAGAGGTGGCTTCTGGGCTCAGTGTCCCCAAGGTCTCTGCCACTTGAACTTCTACAGCTCTGTGTTGTTACTTTTATATTGCTTGGCTAGAATCAAGAAGCACTTGATCTTTGTTGAGTTCAGTTCTACTTGGTCTGAATTAAATTGCCCTTATTTTCAACAGCAAGTAAATGGTGGAGGCTCCTTTTGAAATGGGGCCTTGTCCTAGATTCCCTTTGGGTTACAATGGAATTGCAGTAAAATCTAACATCCACTGTCACCGCAGCCCCTCCACCTTGTCAAGAGCTGTGTTCATGCTTCAGGTCCATCTTCTGCACTGATTAAACGTTCAGATGCTGGCCTTTGAGACAGGTATGCCCCCTTGGTAACACGATATACCGATGGCTGGATAATTACATAAACTCTGGGTAGCCTCAATTTCTAACATATGTGCGCCTCCCCTCGTGGGGCCCGGGACAATACTTCCAATGCAACAATTCCGAGAAGTGTTACTCAAATGGCAGTCTCTGAGGAATTTCCCCAGTTTCATGGGAGTTGCGGGATATAGTGAACTTGAACGCTCAATTGGAAAACAGACACGAGAGATTTTAGAAATGGAAGGATTTGGTATATCAAACTACCTCCAAAGATTTAGACCTAAAAAGAAAACCTTCAAAATAAAAATTAAAAATTATTAAATTTACAATTCAAATTTAGAGACATGGAATTAGACCAATAGTCCCTCCTCTTCTCCGTCCCCTTTCCCTTCCCCTTTTCCTCCTCCCCCTCTCCTCTTCCTCTTCTTCTTCTTATCTGGAGGTTGGGCAATTCCAGATGAGGATTTTTCTTTGACTATGAGAGAGGAGAAAAATAAGTGTCTGGGGAAGGGTGGGTACTTACGACCTTGCCTCTAGGCCCCTGGAGTGACGTTTGGGGACTTGTGCTGAAGTGACTGGTTGTTCACAGTGAAGACAGCACAGGACGAAGCGCCGCCCTGGCCGGGTGGCTGGGTTGGTTGGAGCGCCATTCCCTCCGTGGGAGGTTTTGGGTTCGATCTCCTGTCAGGGCACATACCTAGGTCTCCAGTTCACTCCCAAGTCCGGGCATATACTGGGGGCAACCGATGTTTCTCTCTTCCTCTCTCCCTTCTTCTCTCTCTAAAATCCATAAACATATCCACAAGCAAGAAATTTTTTTTTAAAAGAACAAAGCACAAAACAGGAGGAAAAGAATGAAGAGAAAAGAGACCCTTTTCACTCTCAGATTCACTCTTCAGAGAATTACTATGCTTTTTGTATGGCTGACTTATCACTGTCTGGAAAGGTCAAGTTTATGAGCAAAAGGCATTGTTTCAGATACTATCTTCACATCTCCAAACAATGTCATAAAACCCCCACAGGGCTGGGCCTGGGGATTTCAGAGCCCACGTCGAAGTTTAATTACTAGATTTTAAACCTGCTTTTCTCACGATGGTTCCAGATCTCGGCTAGCGGGGTGTTGTCTCGAAGTGCTCTCTTTAAGGGTGCTGATGCCACACCTGTCCAGAGGGCCCGAAATCGGAGCCTGTCCCACACCGGGATGTACAGCCCCTTCTTCCCAAGTGGCACCCTTCACACAGCTCGCCCGTGGTCTGTTCCCTTCTGCATCTGTGGAGACCTGGGAGCATCGCCAGGCGGGAGTCATCAGTCAACAAGAGATGTGCTGCCTTCCGTAACAGCCGCCTGTGCACCGCTCGCCCCCGAGAACCGCGTCCGCAGTCCCCGGACCCAGAGGTCCGCACAAGACAGAGTGCTCAGCCGACCTGCTGCATTGGCCCCTCGCTTGGCCTCATCTTTTAATCTGGAGGCGGGCAGCCCGCCTTTTCACTTATGCTTTCTACCTTCACGAAACTGGTCTTAATCACAGACCATACACCCACTTGGGTGGAGTGTCGCGGTTCTCACTAGACATGGCAACAGCACTGGGCTCTGTTCGAGTCAGCAAGTTCCAGGATGGGTGCTGGGAGCTGGGTTTATCGTCTCTGGAATCAGGAACGTGGAATCACCATTTCAAGTGTCTTTGAGCAACAAGTTCAAGGGAATCACCAGTTCAAGTGTCTTGGAGCGACAAGATCTGCAGAGCATTCTAAGATCTGTAGGGCAGTCTAAGGCGTGACAGCATGGAGTTTTAGAAGCGTAAGGACCAAATCGGTTGAGAGTATGTAAATATACACCACGGGATGAACTAAAGCAGGGGTGCCTACATCAAACCAGAACACAGAGTAAATGCCGCTGCATCTAGAGCATAGGTCTGGGGTCGAGCCCAGGATGCCTCGCCAGGGCTCGGGTGATTCTGAAATTCTAGGTGGATGTAGTGGAGAGTGGACGTGCTTCCTCTGGCTTATCAGATGCACCTTGGCCCCTCTCCATCCCCCACTGGTCCATGCTCACTTACCCTTCCTCATAGTCAACCTCTTTCTGGGAGGAGCTAGTAGATGCCTTAGCTCTGGCCTCCACTTGTGGTTATTCAGAACTCCGTCTCGGAGAACGTAGTTTCCCGGCCTTGAGTAATCATCATCATTTTCTGTTCCCCTCTCTAGCCATTTCTGTTCCATTTCCTACTGCACTAGTTGGCATAACACCGGAAGTCAGAAGACCCAGTATCAGCTTAGTGTCCGGGCACTCTGTAAAGTATCCATGCGATGCCTCGACAGCTGTGCCGAGAGGAGTGAGCTTCTAGACCCCCTGGTTTTATGCTGCATGGAAAGCTACCCACTAGGTTGAAGGTGACTGGAAGGTGTTTTACAATCAATCACTGGCAAACCCTTCACTCCATGTTCTTCTCATCTTTATCCTTTTCTCTTTTCTATGGTTCTTTCCTCTTTCCCATCGTTCACTGGTCTCCTCACTGCAGCAGCTGGAGTTCCCAGCTGCCTCTTCTGTAACAAATGCTGCTCAACTGGGCTCTGCTCTTTGAGCCCACATTCTTACCACACATGCCTGGTGTGAGTTCCACCAACAGATTCTGCTCCTGGGGTTTATGAGCCGAGTGGAGGTGCAGATGGAAGAGCATCCAGCACACGTCCTTATCTAACTTGTCCGTCCTTATCGGAGTTGGCGTAGGGAGGTGGTTGGGGCTGCCCTGCGATGCCACCCGTCAGCGAGTGGCCAGGTCCGACCGTGTGACTGTCATGAAGTGGCCAGGCTGAGTGACGAGGCACCTGGCCCATCTCACGGACCTGTCTCACCCAGCCATCCGGCTCAGGACACTTTTTCAGCCTGGACAGTTGCTCGAGGGTGATGACAATTTAGATACAATTCTTGTTCACAGATTCTGTAAATCAACCGAAGTAAATTCCAGACTTACTGCCAGAAGTGAGAGCTCATTAGAAATGCTGCGGAGGCTGGGACGGTCCTGAGCACGTGGCGGGGAATCAAAACTCCCTGGGAAGCCTGGTGCTTGAGGGGCACCTAGACCCGTCTTTAAGTAAAATCTCCTTTGAGGTCCACTTAGCATTTTGTAATGCATTGATTTGCAAATTTGCTTTATTGTCCATGTAATGAAAGTGATGGGAGGTTTATTTTTTATCAGCAACTATGAATCGAGTTGGATAATTTTCTTCCAGACAGGAGAGTATCAGGTAAGGATGAGATTTGGTGCATGCAGAATAGGGTCGATCTGTCTCAAAGACCCTGTTTCCTGGGGTTTTCCACAGCCAGCCTCCATGGTCTGTTAATTTGGATGGAGTCTGGAAATGCCCATAGTATCGAACTGATGGAACGGTCAGTCCTTTCAAAGGGCATCTTCATGGGAACAGTGACGACCACATTGCTTTCCTTGGTGTAAACCCTTAGCAATGGAAAGAAGCCATAAGACCACGCTCGTGTTGCAGGAGCACTTAGCTTGCGTTAAAACCGTGATCTGCTGTGGAAAAGGCACAGTGGTACCTGTTTAATGCTCAGGACCCTTTGTCAGGGGAGGATCCTTCTCTAGGCCTGGGGCTCAGGAAACTCAACAGGGAAGCTCCAGTGCCCCTATTGAATTGCTTGGCAAGCCTGTGGTCGGGCCTGGCAGGCTTCCAAGTCGGGCCTGGCCCCGTCTGACCTCCCTAGCCTGTGCGAGCTGGCACGCTCAGAGTACTGGATGGCATGAATGGTCCGCGGCAAGCGCCACCTGAGACACCAATCAACTCGATGCCAAAGGCTGATCTCTTCCACGTGAAGCACCTGACGTCACTTGCTGCACTGACCTCCCGGGTGCACCCCAGAACCCCTTTTTCCCAGGATCCCTGTCGGTTCCTTTTTTGACGTAGGGCTCAGGGACCTCTTTAACTTCTGAACTCTATGTTTTTGGCTGATGATTTATTTTTTTCTTCTCATATAGGCCTCAGCATCGAATAGATTGCCTGCCTGGAGTTCTCTAGTTTGAGATGGTAACATACTTCGTTTTTCTTGACCCCTGGATCTGGTTTCGGAAGTGTTTGCGTGAGACGCAGGAGAGCTGTTTAGATTTTTACTCCTTCCGAGCATAGGGAAATACGACTGCTAGAATCTCACAAATAGCTCATGATTTCCCAGTTCCCTCTGGGGGAGGCCACTGTGATTTTTGTGAATGATACCTGTCCTGCTCCAACCCCTTCGGGGCGAGCCAAATACTCATTCAGAAAAGCAGACAGTCAACTTGAGCGATTCCCCAGTATAATAAAAAAGGCGAGCTGTTTTCTCCTCTTTTCCTTTTCTTTTCTTCAGCCTTCTCCTTCCCTTGGAGTTGGGGTCCGGCCTGCGTCTCATGTCCCCGTGGTCTGGTAGGCCATTGTGGAAGGTCTCATTGTCTATGGGGAATGGGGCAGTGGGGACAGTAGCAGGTAAATGGTCATGGATGGCCACAGGACACTGGAGAACATGAGGAAGGGGCTGTGAGAGCGAGTAATTTTTAATCTGAGGTGTTGCCACAACTGACTGTTGCCCTGACCTGCTCTGAAGGAAGCATACAGGTTCTCTCCAGAATGCACTAGAAGATGTCCGCACACTTGTGCGTCTTGGGGCCGGCGGCCCTGGCTTTGACTCTCATGTCCACCTGTTATTTGTTTCCACATGTCCCAGGGCAAGTCTCTGAGCTTCTAGAAGCTTTAGTAGCCTGTGTCTTTAAAATGTGAATGACAATCCTCTTTTTATGGGTGGTTGTGGAGATTCAATGAGATGAGTGTGTATAGCGTACTCGGCCCAGGGCAAACCCTGGGAAATCCTCAGTGGATGGTAGGAGCCCAAATGATCACAGCGTTGTTGCTGTGAAGAGGAAATCGAGTGACACTGTACACAGGCACTTGTACGTGGGGTTCAGCCATGTTTCCTTGACGGTCACCACACCATAAAATGCTGCTTCGGCACCAGCAGAAGTGTCCAAAAAACTGCAGCATTTGAAGTGTGGTGTCGGTCAATTGGAGGTGAATGAAACGGTGAGGGTGCATCTACACAGGGGACTGGTCAGTTCTGGGGATCTGGGAGCCAGCGGCCAATAGCCGTGGCTCCAAACGTGCGCCACTGTGGCTGCTTCGTGGCCCAGTTTCAGGGCCTTTGAATTTGTGGAACAGAGTGTGTCTGAGGGACACAGCGCCTGCTTGCCACTGTAGTGTGTTTCTTCCGTCGTTGACCGGCTGGTGTGCGGCCTCACGCTTCATCCCCTACAGCCTCGTGACGGCTTGGACCTTCAGCAGGACGTCTTGGAGAGTGGCTTTCTGAGGAAGATGTCCGGGCTGGGAAGAGCTCTGTGCTCAGCTGAGTGGCGCTTCTTCACTCACCCCCAGGAAAGGGAGCCGAGGATGGGCAAGGAGTGGTGGCCCTGGAAGTGGAAGGACAGCTGGGAATCTGGGATCCAGGGCTGAAGACTGTCCAGACTCCAGAGAAAACCGAGGAGCAGGAAGAGGCCTGGAGGAGGGTCAGAGAGAAAACAAGCAGTTTACAGTCCTTACGAGGAAGAGCGAGGCCCCACGTCACCAAGGTCGTGAGCTGCAAAGGGCAAGCAGGAAGGCTCTGGAGCTTACAGTTCACCTTTTAGCTGAACGTTGGGCTAGTTGGGGAAACTTCCAGTGCCTCTTCCTTTGTAAAGTAGGAATAATAAGGATTCCTTGCTCACTGGGCCACTGAGAGGAGCTCGGCGGTGTAGATGGTGGAGTACCGGGTGTGGCTGCTGAGTGCGCTGTGCCTGTTGGAAATGTCAGCTGTTACCGTGTTTACAGAAATGAGGCCAGCAGGTGCAGAACTGGAACAGGGAGGCTTCCTGATGGTTGTCAGTCAGCAGGAGAGGGAGTCAGGGAGCTGCTGTCAATCAGCTAGTCCAACTCAACGCTTCATAGAATGACAAATGAAGAATTAAAATACAGATTGGAAATAAATAAGAGATAAAAGAATAAATGAGGATTTAAGTACAATCAGATTTTAAAACTTGTAGCTCTATCCCAAGCTACAAGTCATCTCTAGAGGTTGGTCATCTCTAAACATTTCACTAAGGCTGTTCAGCTGCAGGTCCTACAAAAAGGGAACATAGGGGAAGGTCCCAGGCTATTGACAGGTAGAAATGAGTACAATTCAGCCCTTTCTTTCTGAAGATAACTGCTGTCAGTAAACACAGATGTTAATTTTATTAAATGAATGTTAAAAGACAGACTTTAATAAGCTTACACAAAGTCAAAAATCCGCGGAATCTCCTTGTATAAGGAGCAAAGGAGTCCTGAAGAACTGGATTTTTTTTAAGGAGAAAAAAGTAGGACACAACAAAATATTTTCTTTGGTTGCAATGAAACTGAGAGAGGAGGAAGAAAACAATTTAATGTAAGAAAAAGGTGCAATAAAAATGTGAATATGGGGAGAAAAAAGAAGAGAAAGCAAAGAAACTGGGGCAGATTCCCAAGTAGCATGCACCGTGGTGACAAAGCCTTGGAAGAATGAGGGCAAACTAACCAAAGCACCTCCGAAGGCTCTGCTTGTAGAAGACATGAAAGAACAAGAGAGGGTCGGCAGAACCTTAGCTTTCTTTTTTATTAGACAAGGATGAAGAGACAAAAATAATGCCATCAAAAGAACAGATAATGGCTCTGGCTGGTGTAGTTCAATGGGTTGAGTGCTGGCCCGTGAACTGAAAGGTCGCTGGTTCAATTCCCAGTCAGGGCACATGCCTGGGTTGCAAGCCAGGCCCCCCAGTTGCGGGTGTGCGAGAAGCAACTGATCGCTGTATCTCTCACACATCAATGTTTCTCTCCGTCTCTTTCTCCCTCCTTTCTTCTCTCTATAAAAAGTAAATAAATGAAAGCTTAAAAAAACATATGTTTGATGCGCCTTAGAAAAATCTTTACATTAAAGAAAAGAACAGAAACTAGGAATGAAGGCATAAACCTGGAGGGTGGAGAACATAGGCGTGAAGGAGGGTGGTCCAGATGGGTGAGGGGTATTCAAGTCGGAAGGCCTGGTGTGCTTGCATTTCAGGGTATGCAAATGAGGATGTCAGAGACATTTCATGAGTGCATTTGTGCAATCAGGGAGGAGCCCTGATTTGTAAAAAGCTGCCACGCCCATACACACCTGTGCACATTGGTACATGCACACACACACACACACGGATGTAGGCAACGAATCTTAAACGATAGTCTCCGAATATAGCAGCAAGCATCTTGAATAAAATACCGGGGAGGGTACAGTTTCTCTCACTGAGGATGGGCATCTCTGTGTGGCTAAGGCTCTCTCTAGTTCTACAGAGGGACCGACCTCGTCAGTGAGGCTCGTAACGTGTTGGGCTTCAGAGAGACCCTGAGCCTGTCCAAAAGGATGATGCATAAACGGAGCCCCATGACCAGACCAGCGACCATGTGTGTTTGTCCTGTGTTCTGAACACAACCCCTTTTCATGCATCCTGGGCTCTCTCTGTGTCTAATGTGCCATCGTTTTCCCAGCTTAGTTTCACAGCGGAGTGCATTTGAAGAGACATCAATTTCATGCCTTGTACGATTATTTACCTCTCTTACAACAGGTACCAGAAACTTTGGTGAGATTTGAGGTGAATTTTGACTCAGCAATAATATTTCTACGGGCTCTCAACCGTAACCTAAATACCCTTGCGTCACTTCCAAAGCCACCTTTGGAGGAGCACCTTTTATGAGTCAGTTGTGTGGATGAGTTTGTTATTTAAAAAGGCAAACTGGGAACAGGTAAACACTAAGAATGTTTAATGTTGGGCGGGATGGCAAAAAATGTTTAATGACAGATACTATTTTTAAAAATTTTTAATTGTTGTTCAAGTACAGTTTTCTGCCTTTTACCCCCACCCCAGCCCAACCCCCCAGCCCTCCCCACCTCCCTCCCATTTCCACCCCCCTTGTTATCGTCCATGTGTCCTGCAAACCCTAAAAAAAAAGGTCCTATTGTCTGTACCTTTGCTGATTGTTTAATGAAATTTCTTATGGAGAAGTTATCTGCAGATATCCTCACCCATCATCATCAGTGAAACTGGTATGATTTCCTTACTATACGGAACGAAACAGGTCAAACGTTTGGCAAAGTTGATATGCTCTTCAGTTTTAGAAAAGGCCGGGAGCCTTTTCTTGATGCACAAGGTGACTACAGACCTGATCATTCACTGAGCTATGTGACAATGGTTTCTGCATCTGTCCTCCATGCAGAAAGGGATGCTCTTTGCTTTCTCAGAGGGAATGGGAACCCCTCTCAGGTGGGATGTCGTAACCCCCAAACTCACACTGTGGCCTGCACAGAGTGGTGCTTAACACTCGTTGGGGGGATTGAAATAGTCACTTAGCATTTTCCCGACTCTAGGCTAGTCTCTGGCTCTCGCGTTTGCCTTCACCGCCCAAGGAAGGCCCCTCAGGAAGCGACAGTGGGGTGGGGACCGAGGGAGGGCTGCTGACCGAGTGGAGGAGACATTCACTCAAACCACATCTGACAAACCAGAAAAGTAAGGTTGCCTCGAACAACTCGCTTTTATCTGCCTGGAGTGTATGAGAACATACGTGTTCAGTGTGTTCCTCAGGGCGCTCTGAGCTTCGGTCCCCAAGCTCCTGCCACAGGCGCCCGGGACATCTGACCAGGCCTGGAGGGGGACGTAGCGTGTGTCCATAAGGAAGAGTGATTAAGGAGTCGCCACCGTCCCCACCACTTTTTCCATCTGTTGCTGCTGCAAAGAGTCTGGAGGGAGAAGCCATCCCCGGCCAAAATGACGTGGGCGGATGCAGATGGACTCTCAGGTACTCGTGTTCTGAGGATGGTTGGGATTTGCCAAAAAAGCTGTGCCCTTGGCTGCCAATCACAGGAAAGAAGCAGAGTCTTCCTGGCCTCAGGGCACTGCCCTCTGTGTGGTCGGGAATACACTCCTCTCCTGTTAGAACAACGGGGTCTGTCTCGGCGGGAAGGTGCTTTTCAGGGCAGGCTTCGTTCTTATCCATGTGTCAGGCTGAGGGGAACATGACCACTTCATTTCATTTCATTTCATTTTATCTTTAGTAGCTGTTTTTAGAGAGTGGTTATATTGATGAATATCATGAGACATACTCACTAATTTTTCCGAAGGCTGTGAATTAGTTTGTATCTATCTCTCTTTGAGTATATGAAGTGTTTACTAATCGTAGGGCCTGGCTTAAAAGTTATTTTTTTCAAAGCTTAATTTTGGTTGATGCATAAACTGTATTTAATACATGGTATCCTTCAGCGCACAGATAATTTGTGCTGCAAGCATTTGTCAAGGTTCATATTCTATTCTTCTCACACAGTGAACTGTTTACCATCTGTGAAGAAGATGGGGTAGCTGTCCACCAAGCCAATTTCTCATTTTTCCTGGTGACACAGCTACACTATTTTTCTCAGAAGAGGCCATCTAGTCCTAGACAAAAGGATGTGGGCAGAGATTACGTGTGCCGTTCTCGGGCCGGTGCGGGAGAGCGATCCTCCGCCTCCTCCCCCTCCCACCTGTCTGACAAAGGTGAGCTTTACCCAGAGTGAGGGGCGGCTGATGGCTTGGTACCTGCTGACACTTGCTGAAGGGTCTGCTTTGCTAAGGGACCCAGAGAAGGCGAGAGTGACAGTTATTCACAGGGAGATGTCGGTGTTTCTCAGAGTTGAGGGTGCCAGGAGCCACGCGTGAAATTACTGTTGAGTGAAAGCATCCCTTTGTGCTGCCCTGGAAAAAGAGGCGAGATGCCTTTTCTAAGTAGGGACGGGGCGCTTCACCTGCCACAGGGTGCTCGGGAGCAGATCTGCTTGCAAGGGAGCTGTGCTCTGGATGCTGCTGGCCTAGATCCGAGAGACAAAGTTCCTAGCTGCACACACACCCTGGACCACCTCCCCCGCCTCCCACCATGGGGTGCCTGCCAAGAGCTGTCTTTGGCTCCATCCTTCACTGACACTCAAGCAAAATGGTTCTTGCCGGGCCAGCAGGTGCAACATACTTTCTCTTTTCAGATCTTCAGGCATTTTCTCCTTCGGGGACTTCCTGGGACTGTGATGTACCCAGAGGGCTCCATTATGTGGCTCAGCTTAGGCGGGGAAACCTTCGTGGTGGGGGATTTACTGTTTCTGTAGCTCAGAGACTGACACGTCCAACCAAATTTGAGACTGAGTGGATAGACTTGTAGAGACCGGTCAGATTGCTAAATGTGGTGACCAGTATCCACTAGTGGAAGACTTGTGAATTAATTTGTATCTCTTTCCGAATATTTAAATTATTTCCTGTCTGTGGAGCCCGTCTTGGGACTGGATTATCCAGACAATGTTCCAAATGCCGTTTTCTTCTTGCCAGTGCCGGCAGGCAAGCTCGGAGCCCCCCTTCCTCCGGTTTTCGTGAGCTTTTTACTTTGTAAAAATAGACACCAAATCAAGGTCCAACCAATCTACTTGTACCAACCTACAACCGTTAGGACAGAAGACTAGGCATTTAAATTCCTATTTTAATAATGAGTTAAAACGAGAACACTTTTATTCAAAGACGTCTATGCGTCGGGGTAACACGGGGGTGTTTTTGCATTATTTGGCACAGTCCATCTGGAATTTTCCAGGATCGCAGGTTTCCAGTTGCAGGGGATGGCAGAACGCTGCTGGATGGGGTCTGTCTTCTTGTATGGAAGTAGATAGTTTACTGAAGAAAGGGGTGGCCGTCTAAACTCTGCTGTTGTCTGTCTCTAACTTCCTGAGGTTCCCAGACGGAAGGGACAAATCCATTCAGCAGTTTAAGGATCCAGGACTAAGAGCACTGATACGGGGTTTCTGACCAGCGAGACACCTCTCCGCACCCACAGGCCTGCAGGGGTAGACAGGACGGTTGCCATGGTGCACTAATGATGCTGTTTGCCATAGAACGGAATGCCAGCCTGCTGAGCACGCACAAGGTCAGCCTTGGGGGGTTGGGAGGAAGACAATGGCAGAGGTGGTCAGGAACCCCTCACTGAGCACGCTTCTGTCCTGGGCTTCCGGGTCCTCCCAGAGGCCAGGAGGAGGGACGGCGGGGGTCGTTTGCTTACTCAGTTTGCATGTGAGCATATGTGTGTTCACATGTGTGCACACACGCAACAGCATTGTGGCCAGTGTTGGGTATTTGAGGGGTGGTGTGAATGGCAGGCCCATGTTCAGTGGTTTGCAGCTTGGCCCCTTCTGCAACCCTGGCCATCGTTAGCTGTGTTGAGTCGTGTATTTCTTTCTGTGTCAGTGTGTCAGTGTGTCTGTCTGTCTGTCTCTCTCTCACACCCCCGTGGAGAAGCGTAGCTGGCCACCAAGGAGGAAGTGAAGCAGGTTACAGCTGAAGGTTGCACCCTGCCCTGCACCCCGTGGGTGAGCCCTGACTACATTTTCTCTGGGGACAGCCCGGAACATACACACAGTGAGCAAACCGTCTCAGTGGGCCTCGGGATTTCTAGAACCTCAAAAAAAAAAAACCCAAAACCTTGAAAAGTGTGCTTTCCTCTCCGAACGCCTGCACAGCTCTGCAGACCCCCGGCTTGGGTGGCCTGGGTGGCCTGGGTGGCCTGGGTGGCCCGGGTGGCCTGGGCAGGGGCTCTGGCCCGTGTGCTCAGTGAGCTGGGCAGCCTCAGCGGCTCTCGGGAGGCCTTCCTGTGCTTCCTGACCCTCATGTCTCTCCCTCTTCTTCCTGCAGGGGCCGGAAAACAGAGAACGGCTCTGGCGTCTGGTCTCCTTCTGTCCGAGGGCCTATGGGCGAGGCCCTTTCCAGGCCATGTAACCAAGCAGAAGCCCCCAGGGGCTCTTAAACTCAGGCTTTGCCAGACCAAGAATTCCTCGTCTGCCGCCAGTCTGATGTTCGTCATGGTGAGTGGCGTGTTCAGGAGCCCCGTGACAGGTCTAATGGTGGATGCATTTGGAATGTTCTCTAAAATGCCCCTGCAATGGGAGGAAAACACACGTGTCCAGGAGGAGTCCTGTGTGCAAACCCGCAGCGGGCAGAGGTCACACTCACGCTGCTGAACAGCTGAGTGCTTATACCCTGTTCTGTTGGCAGGCAGCGGTCTCTGGTGCCGGGGCATGCTTTCTCCTCATTAGCCCCACGCCCTTAATTAAAATGAACAGGAATAATGGGAATCAGGGAGGCTGGTGGCTTGCAGAACCCGGAGTTAATGGGAGCGGGGAAGGCAGACGGTGGAGAAGTTGATTCACTCTGATAGCGAATAAACTGCGTCCTTCCATGAGCCTCCTAGGAGTTACTTTGCTTTAAGTGAAGTGTATGATGAATCACTGCCACCCTGCTGCGGCACCACCAATGGGGACCTTCTGGTGGCCAGAGCCCCGGTTCGACGCGGTGACCATTCTACCGCGGGTGTGTGCAGGTGTGTGCACGTCTATGCACCGGGGGCTGTGGTCCACAGCCAGCGTGACCACGTGTGATCACCGTTGGCAGGTTTGCCCCAAGGCCCCCCTGCTCACGGCCTCCGCCTGAGCACGCTGCACTTGTGAGGCCCCCGTGCCCCCTCACCTGTCCCCTGAATCATGTTAAAGGGAAAACTGCACTGAGGGAAGGGGGGGGCGAGTCCGGCAAACTGTTTCCCAGCAGAAGAGAAATTTTCACTCTGTGAGAAAAAAAACAAAAAAAAAAAGCGGTGGCTGATGGGTCTCCTGCTGATTCTATTCCCCTGGGAAATTTCTCTAATTTTTGCTGCTCAGTTAAGCATTGAATGTCACTGTGTCAAATCTCCCTACTGTTCCCAGGGCTGCATGTGACTCTGAGAGCAGTTGAGACACCTGTATGTTGTCCCCAGGCGTAGGGGGTGGGGGAGGGGCTGGGGGAGCGCATGGTGTCTGTCTGGAGGGTGGCTGGTTCCTATGGTGCAGAGCAGCTGCTGGGCCGCGGGGGAGCACAGCTGGAAGCAGGAGCGATTCCATGTGTCCCAAGCAGCTGGGCGCACGCTTCTGCTGCTTAGAGGACGTCGGAGCAGCACTCGAGGGGGTGGAGGTGGTGGCGAGGGAGGGATGGCATCTCCAGCTGGACTCCGTCTCACTCTGTAGCGCTGTGTGCCCACTCACCCCCCTGTCCCCTCAGGACGGTGTGCCCCAGAGACGTAGTCCTGGGTGGTGCAAGGGAAGAACCCCAACTTACAAGCCAAGATGTCTGGGTTTCGGTCCACACACGGGTGACCTAGCTGCAATATCATGCTGACAAAGGTCCCTGTGTGTCCTAGGGCACGTGGACAGAGGACACCAGCTGGGGTGGAGGGGCTCGGCTCCCGGGGGAGGGCCGTGTCTGGGGAGCTAGATTCCGTTTTGCGTGCCACACTCGAGGGGTGGGGCGGTGAAGATAAGTCAAAACAGGCTCAGAGGCAGGTGACCGGGCAGGGAGGATGTGAAACCAAGTCGCATCAGGAACTCACGGGGCGGGGCCGGGGGCGGGGAGGCGGGGTCGAAGGCCCCCTCGGGTCCTGCAGAGGTGTTTGAGGGGAAGGCACTGGCCGGACAGCTGTGGGGGGCAGGGGTGAGGAGAATCCGAGTCTTCTGGGGAGGCCCTAGGCGGGCTGGGGACCCCGGCAGGCATGACCGAAAAAGACATGTGAGTTGCTCATAAGGAAGTTACCTTAATAGCTGCAAAAGTTCAAGGATACTTTATTTGATTCTTTTTTCAGTTGTTATTCTATTACAGTCGTTCCAGTTTTTCCCACTTTGCCCTCCTCACACAGCCCACCCCCCACTCCCACAGTCCATCCCCACACCGCTGTCTGTGCCCATGGGTCCTTCACACACTTTAGATTGTGTTTTGGGGTAATCACACCGGATGCTACGACTCTGATTGAGAGCATGGCGATCTTCGTGCAGTGGTGTGTAAATGGACGGCAGGGGCGTTGGCACGTGATTTTTAGGACAGAATCCTGCCTTTTTGGTGATGGCAGGCTGCAGCCACTGGTTCCATACCTGCTCCTAAACTTCCTGCTACTTTTGAACTACGGGTGTAATCAATGCTGAGGTCCATTTCCCTCTCCTTCCCCACCCCTGCCCAGTTTCCTCCCACTCCTGGCCCTGCTCCTGGCACCCAGTGGGACCCACCCCACTGGCCACTGGTCCCACTGAAAATCTGTGGTGGGTCTCTGTGGTGGAGCTGGGGGTAGAGCCGAAAATACTGAAAGGATTCACGTCTTTATCTGTGTTTTAGAGGAATCGGCGTGGTCTTCTATAACCACCAAGTTTTGGTGATCATTCTGCACTCGCCTACGTGTCAAGTGGCTTCATCAGAATGTTGTTCTCACAACTTATCAGGCACACACTAGTCAAGTACATTATCAGAAACTCAAGTCTCACTGGGGTCGTTGAACGTGGCTATTTCATTTTGTTATTGGCTTATCTCTTTTTTAAGTTACTCTTATCTTTCAAACACAGTTGACAGTCCGTATGGTATCGGTTGCAGGTGTACAGCAAAGGGACACTTACATAACTTATGAAGTAGTCCCTGCCCCCAGAAGCCCAGCACTCACCTGGCCCCAGACACACTCAGGATCACATTACTGACTGTAGTCCCCAAGCTGTACTTTATATCCCTGTGGCTAGTTTGTAGCTGGCAGTTTGCACCCCCCTTTTCTCCCAGTCCCCTAGCCTTCCTTCCCAAAGCCCTGTGCCTAACCCACTCTTACTGCCCTTCCCCTCTCAGCTGAAACACCCCTTCCAGGGGCTGGCTTCACTTTAGTGGTGCCCTGAGTGGAAGCAGGCTCTGTCACATACCTCGTGTCAACCACCGCCCTTAGGTGGCTGTCTGGGGGTCCCTGTTACTCTGTGTCTCCGCCTCGAACTGTGTGCTCCAGGGGGGAAGGTGCTGGGTCTGCTCAGTTCTCTGCTCTGGCCCCAGGCTCTGCTGCTTGGGGGCCTGGTATGTTGGAGGAGCTCAGCACATATTTGATGAGAGAGTGGGAGTCAGGAGAGGCTCACAGTGGGAAGGAGGGGGTCACTGAAATTCAAGCCAGCGTTCCAGGTCACAGCTGCGGCTGATAAAGACTGTGGCTGATGCGTCTGGGCTGGTAATCTGGGGGCTTGTGGACCCCTGTGGACCCTGAAGCTCCTCGCAGCTGGTAGATGACTTTCCTCGAAGGAATGTTGATCAGTGGGCAGAGTCTCCCGGGGCGGGCCCTCTCTCTGGCACCGTCATCCACAACGTATCCTTCCAGTGAGTCAGAACCACCTCTGGGCATTTAAAATGCAGATGTTGCCCCCTCCCCGGCCTCTACGCCGCTGTACAAATTGAAACATACCCCGAATCAGAATTTCTGGGGAAGTTCCTGACATCGCTACCTTTCAGGTAGAAAAAAATAGGTCAGCTTTCGAAGGGCAAAGAGAAGGATTTTATTTCTTCTTGCACAAACACATGGACGTTCTCTGGCTTCCTTTTACTCTCATCCTCCCCCACGCCTGCCCTTTCGTGTTGTCTTTGTGGAGAAGGTCTTACCCGAATCTCCGGAGACAGACGGAGAGACAGCCCCGACCCGGGAAAAGGCAGGCCTGGCCCTCAGTCCTTCCCGGAGGCGGTGGGTGGCGCGGCCTCACAGACCCGGCAGCACACACTGAGGCCCGTGGCCCGCTGGGGGGAGGCTTCTTGTAAAGCAGGGCCTTTGGGAGCCCCTGGGACGAACTGGCTGCTACTGTCACAGCCGAGTTGCACGCTGCTCCCCTTTTTAAGCTTCTGGAAAGAATTCTGTCAAAGCAACATGAGGTGGCACAGATGTCGTAACTCTTCAAGTCTTTCTGAGCATGTGACACCCTTCTTTGGTTCTCAAGATGAGCATCAAGTCTTCGTCTCCCTGAGCCACTCAAGGGACGCGCAAGTCGGCCCTGGGCGGGGCCCTGTCTCCGGCCCCCTCGATGAGTGGACCCACAGCCAGCGTACAAGTTGCTTGTCCACCTCACTCAGTCCCACTGGGTTAGGGACACTGGTGGCAGGTGTTGCAGCCCAACCCTTTCACTTAGGAGAACACATAGTGCAACCAAGTTGGCAGGCGACTTGCAGGCGGGAAGCAGAGGTAGCCCTGACCTTGGAGCTGCGGTGGAGTGGTCGGGTTCAGGGCTTGGTCTGAAGGCAGAGCCCACGGCGTCTGCTGGACGCGAGGTAGCGAAGTAACAAGTTATTGGAGGAGTGACGCCAGGTCTAGGGTGGGACACATCTGGGCAAGTTCCGTGGCCACGGACACTTCTGGAGGCTCAAATTTGGGTGGCTCCTGGCAGCAGGCAGGCCGTCAGGAGTAAGCACCTTCTGTCCAGCGGCTGCAGGACATCCCTCAGTCAGTTATCTCTCTGAAGGGGGTTTACTTGTTGTCCTTTGCCCTACACCAGCAGCATGTCCTGTTGCCTTTAGGCCAAAGTCCAGGCCAGCCTAGCGGCATTCGGGACCTCTGCTCACCTCGTCGGCCCGTCTCCAGCCCCCCACCCCGCCACCCCAGGACAACACAGTCTCGTACCCCTGCCTGGCTTCATGCTCCCTACCCCCTTCTCTGCCTCTCAAGAGCCTTTGGAAGAGTTAAAATTCTGCCTCCTCCAAGTTCACTCTCCATATTTTCAACAATGAAATTATTTCTCCACCAGAGCTTGATCTGGACATTCGGTCTAGTCTCTGTTTAATTTTTCTCTTTGTCTTTAAATGGATATAATACTAGTTATATATGGTACATATTGTTTTTTGTGTGACAGCCATATAGCACTCTACTATGGCTTTTATTCATGCAAGGCCTCCATTACTAGATTATATGCTGTATCCCAGTCTAACCCAGACTTTTAGACCCTCAGTACGTGATTTGAATCATACGATGAATAAAGGTGGAACGGGGTTAAGAGAACAGTTCTAAAGCATCGAATGTCACTAACTACAGCTACTGCGGGTATAAGGGGGAAACAGTAAAGTGCTTGTAAAGGCATGGAAATAGGGTAGCTTCTGTTTCAGATGAAGCCAGCACTCTGCAAATAATCCAGTATCTATTTCCCAGCCTCCTTTGCAGTTAGCGCGGTCATGCAACTAGCTCTGGTCAATGAAATGTGCGTGGGAAGCCAGCCCTCACTCTGGCAGACTCTTCGCCTCCCTACTGCTCCTGCTGCAGTGATCCTGAAGCCACCTGCTGATGTGCGGATCATGGAATAAGTGGAACCCGGATCTGGGTTGACCAGTTGGACGGGGACCCTACCACCTCACATTGGACTTTGCAAGATAATGCAGTAAATTGTTGTTGTGCTACACCAGTGAGATTTTGATTTATTTGTTGCCTCAGCATGGCCTGTCCCACCCTGACTACAACGTTTTGAAGAAATCTGCATGGGAGGGCTGTGATCAGCCACCCGAGAGAACACGGTCGGAAGTGGTCTACCTGTAGGCTTTGCAGGCATTGGACGTCACATTCTAGGTGATTGAGAGGAATCATGGAGACGGAAACAGAATATGATTGGAAACAAACAAATGACAGAAATCTAATCTGTTGTGATATACTATGTTTCAGAAGGGGGATGTATATAAAAGGGAGATTAGGCACCAGAAGTCAGTAATGACCTTGAGAGAGGATGTCCTGGCTGAATGGCGCAGAGCAGCATGTGGGCCTTAGGGAAGATGGAACCACACTGTGGATGCGCCAGGCTTCGGGGCCAGATGCCATTCCAAGTTTGGATTGCGTGCTTCCTGCTCCTGCAGTGAAACCATGCTTTCGGTGGGACCTCCTGATAAAATTTCACTCGCCATAAGTTTATTCAAAAGGAGGGAAGGCCCTCACATGCTATCCTGTCTGTTAGCTGATTTTATCGATAGATCATTCCCTTTGCAAATTAATTCTCTGGCCACACAAGTTACTTGTAGCATCTTCCGTAAGGCAGTTAGCGGACACAGGACAGATGGAGCCACTCTCAGTGTGCTGTGGAAGTGCGGCCCAGCCCCGAGTCCTCCTGGGAGTCTTCGGGTAGCCCGTGGGCAGCAGTCGAGCCTGATCTCAGGCATTGCTCAGCTTCATCTCAAAGCACCACTGTGAGATGCTGTGCGTGGTACCGTGAGGGATGCTTATAGCAACAGAACTGGTTGGGAAACCTGCGAGCTTTGTACGGATGAGACAGTGAGTCACTGCATTAAGGTCAAAGTCCCCAGACACACCATTAGAGAATTTTCTCCTTGAAATAAGTTGACTGTTTAATTGAAAAATTCATAGACCCAACCATAAAGTGAACATAAGAATTTCCCAGTGAATTTGAAGAACAGGAGTCACGTAAACATACGATAACCCTGCCATTTTTTTCAGAAACCTCAAATTAAAAAAAATTGTGGATTATCTACAGTATGTGTATCTGCAGCTGTTGGTTTGAAAGCTACCAGCAAACCCATACTCATGTCAGTAGTCATTGCCAAGTACAGCTAACGAGAGAATCCTCCCTTGGAGGTTTTCAGTTCTCTCTGTTCTCATTTCGAGTTCCAGATTTGAAATGTTGCTTAGGTTTTCATAGCCCAAACACCAAGCCCAAAGCTACAAAGAGAAAAGAAAACTGTTAATTTTTAATCATAAAAATAATAAATATGTAAATAAGAATTTCTGAAAATATAGCAATATAAAAAGTAGAAAGTAGGAATCTTTCCATTTCTGAGGTCCAGGAAAAGCCACTGTTTGGCAAGTGTCATTCCAGTCTCCTCCTTCTGTGTACCCAGCCGTCCATTCTATCGTTACAGAAATGGGGTGATTTTATGCAGACTGTCTTACGATGTGCTCGCCCCTCCCTTAGCAACACATCTAGGCGTCGTTTTCACTTCCATGCATACTCGTATTTACTGGTAGCTGCAGAATATTTCATTTTATGTGTGTATTATAATTTATCTAGCCAGTTCTTCTTGGTGCTTATGTGGGCTGTTTTTAAATGTTCACATTTATAAACAACCCAGAAATGAATGTTCTTTTACATTCAGGGGTGGGCAAAAGTACGTTTACTGTTGTGAGTCCGAGAAACACAGAGTTTATTCTTGTTTTATTATTTATTAGTTATTGCATTATTTTAAACACAAACAGCTTTAAACCTACTTTTGCCCCGCCCTATATATCTTTGGGTAGTACATGATATCACTGTGGTTAAAGTTCTAGATAAGATATTACTTGGTCAAAAGATTTCCTTATTGTACATTTTAATAGATTTGGCCAAAATGTTTGAACTAGTTTTAAACTACTTTGTAGATAAAGGTGTATGTTAGTTGTTGGGGCCTCTATTTCTCTTGATTTGTTTGCATTGTGTTGGACATCGAATTACATTTTTGAACCTTTTGCTTTTCTGTTTGCTCTCAGACAACCATCTCTAAACGTCTTATGCACTTGGCTTTGCCGGCTGCCTTGTGAGGTGTGTCACGTTGCTGTTTGGCCACATTACGTAGATGTAGTTAGTTATGTTCAAATCTGCTCATTGTTTTTCAAAGTGGCTTTGTTGACAATGTTCCGGGGCAGTGACTTGAGCCAAACGACACCCGTATTTGGTCTGTGAGGCTTTTCATCCTGTGCGCATATGAAATTGTTCCTTGGCTGCGCTGTTGTGTCTGAGATTCGAAGAGTCAGTCCCCCATGGTCTCCCCCTCCCTGTGACAGCCGTGTGGGGGTCGAGCCAGACTCTTGCTATGCTGCTGGCCATTTGACCTGCTCTGGGGTGTTCTCAGCCGCATCGCTGACCAACGCAGTGACTCACGCGGGGCCCGGTGGCCATGTGGGGGCTGCTGCAGAGGAGGCTCCTTCCTCAATGTCATCGTGCCCGTTAACCCCGTGACACTAACCATATGGAGAGCAAGGCGTCGGGTTTCTCCCCGGACATTCCTAGAGAAGCGCGTAGCACTTAGAAAGCTGGTGGGAAGACAAGTCCTGGGCGGGAGGGAGCCAGCCCCATCGAATTCATTGAATTTTCCTTTTAGTTAACCATGCTCAAAGGTGCAGAGGGTAGTTTACACTACATTTAATGAGATATGTAGAACTCAAGCTTGAATCCAAGACTTGTGATCTTGTTAGTGCTCTCCCCACTGAGGGAGGGACAGCATCCTGGCAGCTCCCAGGATGCTGTCCCCTGGCTGCATGCAGGAGGCCTGGATTCAGCATCCACAGCAAAGTGTCAGGGTCCAGTGACGGGAAACCCAGTGGGGGTACTATCGAGTGAGAAACTGGAGTGAAACTGAGGCAGAGAGAATGGGTCGCTGAGCCAGGGATGGAAAAACCAAGGACATCAAGGCAGCCAGGGCTTGCCTGCCGGATGCCAGTTCCTTCGGCCACTCTGAGCCCTGCCCACGAGAAGCGGGAGGAAGCTGCTGCCATGCTCGGGTTCATCAGGGTTCCTCGGGCCCTGGTCATGGCAGAGGCTTGCGGGGGAAGGTGGCCTCATACCTCCAGGGCGCAGGGGCCACAACAAGCAGAGCTGGTGTGCGGGCTTCCATCTCACCCACGGGACTGCCCTTCTCAGGACACTTTCCTGCCGTCCTCGCTTCACCTCCGCACTGCCCACGGAGTGCAGGGTGTGCAGCACCAATGACGCTGGGCCATGCTGGATTCAGGGACATGCTCTGAGCCCACTGGACGAGGTTCTCTCCTGCCACGTTGGACTCACTCAGCTTAGCATTGAAATGTACTGCTCAAGTGATGGACTTCTGCTTCCAGTGACAGTCTGAACTAAGTTTGGGATGCTGCATGACCTCTGTCCCCTTCAAATTGAACACCCGTTCATTGCTCTAGTTACATTGTGAAATCATCGGTCGATAAGGACACCTTTTCTCCATTATATTCCCTGAGAGTCCACTTAACATGGAGATCTCGGATCAAGATCCTAACCAGTTGACTGGGAGTTGCCCTCTCCCGCTCCCTTCCCCCACACATTTCCCTACCCCAGCCCACCTGCCTTGGATTAGTGCCTCACAGCTTTCATGAAGGCTGATAACAAAATATGTTTGTAAAGAACGAAGGCTTTTTCTTTTTTTTAAGCAGAGCTCTGGTTAACCAAGTTTATTTTCAGTTGCAGCAGAGAAGAACCAGAGAAGGCACAGGCCTGGCTGCTTAAATTCTTTCTCTAAAATGAATGTGTTCATTGTTTTCCATGAGAAGATCCTGAGGGTGATGGAGTGGGAGAGAGGCCATGGAGTGCTGCTGTTCAGGTAAGATGTCCAGTTGTTACGGGGATTTAGGGAAAGCAAAGAAAGTGCTGCGTTAAAAGATGAGGGGCATTTTTTGCATGTGATGCTGTGCCTTTTCCAGTCTTGTTTATCTCTGGGTCCTTGTTTTTATTTCATAGGACTTAAAGGTAGATCATTTATACTAAATATATAGCAATAAATATTGGGTGGGAACTCAAGGGCTTACTTGGCCAAAGGTGAGACATAATTAACATCAATAAGAATAATTACTATGATAGATGGAAATAATTCAAGTATGTTTAAATTGGTGAGTTTATAAGGAAATTTTACCTAAGAAAAAGAAGATAAAAAAGATGAACAGTAAAAGGACAGCAAACTCACAGTTATTAAGAACCACACCTAAAACAAAAGCAAACTAAGAGGATAGCTAGATCAGGAGCAGAAACATAGAAATGAAGATCACATGGAGGGTTAGCAACAGGGGAGTGGGAGGAGGAGAAGGGGGGAGGAGGTACATAAAATAAGTAGCATAGGTGGTAGGTAGAAAATAGATGGGGAGGGCAGGGCAAGAATAGTAGGGGAAATATAGAATCTAAAGAACTTGAGACACGTGGTCATAAACTAAAGGGAGGGAATGGTGGGGGAGGGGTGTGCAGGGTGGAGGGGAATGAAGGGGGAAATAGAACAACTGTAATGGCATAATCAATAAAATATATTTTAAAAAAGTAAAAATGAATTGGTCATCATCAGAGAATGCCAAGAAACAAACTCATGATTTGAGAACTGATAAGCAAGGGGGAAGAATCAAGCACTGATTTTCCTTTCCAAATAGGAATCGCACCATAACACAGCCCAGCAGGAGAGAGGGAAACATGCCAACTAATAATTGAAGAAGGAAGGAATATCACCATTTTGTAACCAGTAATGAATTGTTGGATCTAGGTATTAAACATGAATGAATACGAATATCACAAAACTAGAGACAACCAGATATTTTATACACTCACCACGAGTGGACAAACATCGAACCCCTATAACATAGTCTTCATAAAAAATATCTGAGAATGATTAAGCTTCTAGATGCAGCCACCGATTAGTCAGAAATACAAAGGACAGGGAAACATGTTAAATTACATCATGGAACTACATTCACTAAAATCCAGATTCTGGGAAAAATCCATGGGAAAAACAGTGCTTTTCCAGTGTTTTCACCAAATATGTCACAAGAAAACAAGAGGCCTACACAAGGGACCTAGAAGATCAAAGGAGATTCAAAGGCACCAATCAATTGTAATGGGTGAAACTTCTTTAGATGCTATTTTGTTAAAGTATCCTATTTTTTAAAAAAAACTGAAAAAATGCTTATGACATTTATGAGATCAGGAAATTTGAACAGTAAGGAAATATTATTTTGTTACATGCAATACTGGTTTTGTGGTTATGTTAGAATCTTATTTGTAGGTATGTGTTGAAATATTTACAGAAATGATACGAGGTCTGGAATTTTCTTTAAAAGCACAGGGTGAGGGGAGCAAGCTGTCAGGACAGAGGGGAAGCCAGACAGACTGTGGGTGATGGTTGTTAGGGCCAGGCAATATACACAGAGGAGATTATTGTGCTGTTTTGTCTCTTTGAGGTATACTCAAAACTCTACATGATGAAGTGTTTGTTTTTAAATAGAGAAATGCAAACGCTGCCTCAGTGTTTATGTTGAGGAGTTAATGTTGTTTTTTAAGTTTGTTAGTGATATTTGGAATTTACATGGTTAAAAAAGAAAAAGATTTTTGGGTCTGCTTCAAAAGAATTGGTATTTATGGGGGCAAAAATGAAATTAAAGTGGCCATCATTGTATAAGTTTGAAAATTTCCTAAGTGAAAGGTGACAGACAGAAGGTGGATGAGACTATAATTAAAACAAAAAGGATTATGGCATAGATTACTGTGCAAATGTCTCGTGTCTATGACTAAATCGAAGGAAAGTCAAATGTTCACTTTTATTATTAATATTCTTCTTGTTAAAGTTTTGGGTCATCAAAAGCAAAACCTGAGCACAAATTCACTTAGAGGTGAATAAAAATAGAAATCTGTTGACATTAAAGAATTCTTCTTTGTGGCAATCCTATAATAAAACAAGGAATTTCTCAGACCCGTTCCCTCCCTCTGTATTGCTTGAAGGTCACTAATACTATTGTGTGTGAGTAGCCAAAGAAGAGATTGTCTAGTGTAATTTGTATAAGCTGAACTGCACATTGCACCAATTTTTATAGTTAAACTTGAAATTTACCAGAGTTAGACCTTGAAATTTATATGTGAAAAATAGGTCAAGTCACATATTACCAAAGAGAAAAGGTACCCATTTACTTAAACTTTAAAATGAGATAGAATGTTTTTATCAAAATGGTAGGAGGTCCAAAAATGACTTGATTATATAAGGTCTCAGGTTCTGGACACTGAAAAATAGATTGAGAGGGTGGTGAGGAGAAATTTGGCAAAGTCAAGGTCAAAACCTGTGGCATTCAAATGTGTCTGAAGTAATGGGTGTTGTGGATTGCTTGCTCAATTTTCATTTCACTGTTCTTCTAGACAGAAATGTTGGTTACCTAAAAGTATGCCTATCCTGACTGTTCTGGCTCATTGGATAGTGGATTGAGTGCCAGCCTGCGACCTGAAAGGTCGCCAGTTCAATTCCAGTCAGGGCACTTGCCTGGGTTGCAGGCTGGGTCCCCCACTGGGGGTGTGTGAGAGGCATCACACCAATTAATGCATCTCTTGCACATTGATGTTTCTCTCCCTCTCTTTCTCCCTCCCTTCCCCTCTCTCTAAAAGTAAATAAATAACATCTTTAAAAGTGATGGATGCCCGATTCCCTTGCAGCTAGGATTCTGAGTGAGAATTTACTTCTGCTGATTATGTATCTTACGGGTTACATGTGAAGGCTAGAGTGAAGCGAAGACATCTTAATTTCCTTCTCAGTGAGGTGGTCCTGCAGCAGTGCTACATACAGTGTGCTTTCTTCAAGTTCCTGGGTTTCGAGAAACAGTTGCAAAGCTGAGCATCTGTGGAGGCTCCTGGACTCTGGCCTCCTGGTACCTGGAGCTATGGGAGTGGATCTTGAACCCATAGCTTTAGTAGGAGCCTTAGGTTAGCAGCTGGCCTGATAAATTTGTTTGCATTGTTCTGGAAGTCACTATTGTAGGTGCCACCCAGAATTTGTCTGTCAGCCCTCCCGAAGAGTCTGTAAGCACCCAGTTCCCTGCATGAAATTTTTGTGTTTAAGATACTTAAAATGATATTGTTTCCTGCTTTGTATCTAGTGGAAACAAGCAGCATTTCAGTTTTTAGCCTTTTACAAATGAATCTTAGGCCTGCCAAAATTCACCTTTCTTTGCTCACAGGCAATTACCAAACCTCCCACGTCTCTCCCCATCATTCCCATGTTCCGTTCTCTTGGTTCCTTCACTGTTTCTTGCCAGGAGACCACACATTTTTAGGTATCAGCAGTCAGAGAGGGACCAAGACTCGAGAGTAGCCAGCTGGAAAAGACGGCAGGGTGCCCATCCTCAATTACCTCTAGGTTCGGTTGCAGATTCAGCTGTCTTGGAACCCTGCCAGCCTCTCTCCCCCCACATCTATTATCACAATAATTCTAACATGTAGTTTTTTTTAATCTCTCTTCCAAGACAAGGTGCCTGAAGCACAGAGACATTAAATCACTTGTCCAATATTGGTGATTAAGGGAAGAATCAGGATTGAATCTCAATTTCGTCTGACTATCCAGTGAACCTTGGACAACGCACTGGGCTAGGCATAGAGTAGGCATCACAGTCTAGTTCTGTCTTCCTGCCAAGGCTTGAGTGGGAGTTGCACAGGAAACAGAATGATTTCTTTTCTCCTGCGCTGGTGATAACAATCTTCCTGCCTTTCTGTTGGTTGGTAGGAGAGAGCCAAGGGAGAGGGTATGGGAAAAACCCCATAAAAAAGGAGGTGAACAACAGAGACACAGGGCAGTGGAGGCGAGCTGGGGGTGCTGCTGCTGCGGTGGTGGCGGAGCTGGGTGGCACCAGCACTTTTGAGGTCCTGGTGAAAGGGTGGGTGGTGACAGGCCTGGGTGGGCTTCGTGGTGACAGTTTGTCTGCTGCTGGTGCTTAGAAGGAAGGAAGCTGATGAAAAGCTACTCAAAGAACCGTAGCACCGCTGCTCCCTGAGCTGGCCATTCCTGCTCACGCATTTCCTCCTGCAGCGAACCGCCCTCTACTGTGAAGGGGGGTGCTCCTTTCCGGCCCCCCAGACCCCAGACAGCTCGGCCAGGCTGCAGGCCTTGGTTGGAGCTCAGATGCCAGTCTTTCCCTGGGAGTAACGCACCTTCCTTCTACCACCTCAGGCCTCCTGAGTTCCATTCTGTCACTGTGCCGACTCCAAGGAGGCAGCATGCGAGGTGATCTGCCCCAGCTGGAGCAGGTGCCTGGGGACCCGAATGCACAGTTTGGGATTCCAGACCCGCCACTTGCTGTCTGTGCCATTCTCCTGTGATTCCGTAACCGATGTGAGCCTCTGTTTTCCTCATCTCTAAACCTCACAGGGTTAGACTATGGCTGATTGGGCCAATTATCCAAAACGTGGCAGATACTAAATACATGCTATCCGTTATATTAGCTACATACACCCTAAATCGTAGGAGGCAAACAAGGCCCACGGCCGAATCCAGCCCTCCACCTTGTTTTATCTGGCCTGGCACCTTGCTTCCACCCAGCAGCAGCACCTAGCTCCTTGCCCCTAGTTAAGGAGTAGTTCCATTTATACAGTCCTAAAGTCACATCGACCCTTTGAAGGCAACTGTGGGGCTGATGTGGTCCCCCGTGAAAAGGAGTTTGACACCCCTGCTCTAAATGGGATCAATGCATCACTTCATTCAGGGAAGCTGATGAGGAACTGGCGAGTGTCAAAGTGTGTTATTTTCATTGATCAGGATAAATTTTCCACTTAGATACTCCCTTCCAAACTCACGCAAAGTTGTCCAGTTCCTCACAAGTGAAGTATTGTTTTTTGACTTAGCAAGGGCATGGCATATTCTGAACCACTTACTGTCCAGTGTACAAACAAAACAAAATAATAACAAAGTTTTTTAGGGCTTGCTGATTCTGTTCTGAGGTGTCCGCTCACAGTCTGATCCAGCTGTGGATGCCCACTCCAAATAATCCACAGACGAAAAGGGTTTCCTCTTAAGAAGAGCTCATCTACCTGATTAGTCATATTGAAACAATTCCTGATTGTGCCTTTGCAGAGTGTCAAATATTTGTAAACATTATTCTGAATAGCTCAGGTGCCATTAGATGTAGAGATGTTGCAGAAATTTTATTTTGTCCCTCCCATTTTCATAAATGTTGGTGTTGTATATAACAATAATTTACACAGAGTGTAGAGCTTAAACTGTGTATTTTATAGAGGAGAGGAGGGAATAATCAGCACTTTATAGATCTCCTCATTTCCATCCGTAGATCATCTCACAGAGTACCTGGGTCTGAAACTCTCTGATCTTGAATATATGCAAAAATCTACGCTGCTGGAAGTGGAAATGAAGATATTTAAGTGGGGTGTTTCATTCAGAGAGCTCACGCGATGCTTGACTCATAGTTAACACTCGATACTTCCATTTCCTCTTGGGCATTTACTCGTGCCTTTGTTGGATGATCCTAACTTGCACTGTGTTCAGAAACTGTATTTTTGCAAGGAGCTCTTATGTTTCCTTTCTTGAAATCCATTGGCTCTTGAGACCTCATCATGATGTAACCTGGACATGATGTAACCTCATGGGCATAGGAGTTACGTGAAGTTGAGAAGACTGGGTGGAAATCAATGTTCTTGGTACCCACAGAAAAGAAGATATTACCAACCACCAGCAACAAGGCATGTTTTGGGTCTGTTCACTTTGAGGTTGGGAGTCAGATCTTCTCTTGGTCTTCTCTTTACTATTCACCTAGTACTTTGTTAACTTATTTAAAACGTCTAAGTAGTAGTCAGACAACCTCATTTGTCTCCAGTCCCCATTTATGAGATGATGATCGGGCCTACCTGACAGGTGTGTCATACCTATCAAAGCATAAATACTTACGGAGGATTTATTTTAGCAAGAGATAAAAAGTGTATAAGACGTGGCCTCTACTTTTGTAAAATTGACTGTCTAGCCTTGGAGACCAAAGGGAAAGAAAAAATACTGAAAAAATTGTTTTTTAGTTCAAGGATTAGCTGCTGATGCCAGGCGACGCGGTTGCTGTTCTGCCATGAAGCTCGTCGCACAGCTGGCTCCCGGCGGTCCACTCCGTCCCCCTCACAGCCCAGGGCTCGAGAAGCTGCACATTCGGCTTGAGATGTTGACGCAAGAAACACTCAAACCTGTTGAGAACTTGTATAAGAATTTATGTGAGGCAAACATATGCTGTGAAGCAGAAGCTCAAACGCTCCCCGAAATAACAGTTTGCAGCTCCTTTTATGCACTTGGAATTAAGGGAGGCCCTGGTTGGCGGAGCTCAGTGGATGGAGTGCCGGCCTGTGGACCGAAATGTCATGGGTTTGTGTCCCACTCAGGGCACGTGCCTGGGTTGTGGGCCAGGTCCCAGGTTGGGGGCGTGGGAGAGGTGACTGATCAATGTTTCTCTCTCACACTGATGTTTCTCTCCTTCTCTTTCTCCCTCCCTTCCCCTGTCTCTCCAAGTAAATAAATAAATTCTTAAAAAAAAATAAATTAAGGAGGGAAATAAGGAAGATTATGTGAAGGCAAGAGGAAGCCACTTGGGTGTGGGGTTATGAAATAGTTAAAATCCTGTGCTCTCTTGGAGGTGGCCGTGTGAAGATGGGATTACAGGGTAGTTAAAATATATGCTCTTTTGAGGGGCCTGAAAGAGGGCATTTCAAAGGTGTATTAACCTGGGTGCTTGGAAACAGTGGACAGGGCTTGCTTAAGGCAAAGATAAGCCTTTCAGTAAAGAGGTTCTATGCCTGGGGTGTGACTGCCTACCCTGCCCAGATAGGAATTGGCGGTCAGGTCACCCTGTGGGGTTACTTTCCACAGAAGCCCTTTTTTCGTCCACAAGAAGCCAACCTTTCCAGATAAAGCATCATCATTCTTTGTTATAGATACACATGTGGCCTGCTCTCCCCACCAGAAATTTCAGATTGGCTCTGAAGGTCCTTAGGAGAAAAATGAGAAGTGATACTGGATTCTACTCTGAGATTTGAGCTTTGGGTCTTGACTTGCATTTAATGATGGGTTTCTGGAAAGCCTTCTGTTCCCCAGCCTGCAGCACGGTATTGCTCTTCATGGTCCCATGAAGGAGAAACTCAGCCACTGACAGGAAGGAGCTTGGGGTTTCTGCACAGGTAGTAGTAGCACACTGGAGTCAGGACGCAAGTGTGCAGACTGAGCCCCTGAGCGGTGAGATGAGAAAACCCACAAAGCCCTCGGAGGCAGGAATGGCAGGTGTTTCAATGCCTCGTTCTAGAAGCAGAGTGTGAGGAGACGACCTGGAGCCCACACGAACTGCTCCAGCAAAAAGGCGAGGTGGACTGTCCTTGAGCTGACTCTGAATGACGGGCTGTGGAACCAGAGCACACAGGGTATTGTGTAGTTGTTGATAGGTCCTAGTTTTCTACCAGGTGGTTTCAGACAGTCTGGCTGGCTCTCAGTGAACAAGGAAAGGGGATTGGCAGGAACCGAAGGGTGCAGAGTAACTTCTCCTACGTGAGCTCTCCAGGAAGCAACTGGGAAGAAGAGAACCCCCAGGGGCTGACTCCCTAGATGGCACCTTCACTGCTTTGTAGTTGGGGGCCCTGAAGAGGTGTCTGCATATTAAACAAAACAAAACAAAAAACTGAGTGACTAAAGGCTGTCCAGACGAAGGGTCACATGGTGTAAATGCCACTCTGCCCTTCTCACACCATGACAAACATCACCAACTCATTGGGGCACGTTGTCCTGCTGAGAGACCTCACTCTGGCCTTTTGGTTGGAAAAAAAATTAGACATCCTAAGACAGCAAGAGACTAGTGTCAACAAAAAGGTGTCCCTCTCCTTTTATTTCAGTCGACGGTGGTAGTCATGAAGTCTCTTAATTCACGTTGATCTCGGTGACTTCATTCTGACTCAGAAACTGGAATGATTACTATTTTTTTCCATATTGAGATGAAGGTTAATTTTTCAAGGACAGACTCCTACTAACCAAGCTTTAGAAACCGATGTTGTGATGTAGTAAGACATATATTTGGTCTTTGTTCCCCTAGTTCCTGGCACAGAGCTCCTAACACTCTTGGTTTCCTGAGTGATAGGAATGCCTTTTATTATTCGTCAAAGCTTCTCCTGAGCATACCTGAGTTTATTCTAATGAGGTGATTTAAGGGGCATCCCTGGATAACGCAGAACAGAACAGGTAACTAGGAAAGCCAAGTGATTAGAGGCTTGAGGCTTGCAGCCTCTCCCAGGAAGTGGAGTGTGAGGGCAGCTGGAGAGTCAAGTTTTTTAAAATTTAAAAATATTTTAAAATTTATATCGGAACAATAAAACCAATTATATGTCAACACATATTCTAATTGTAGTATTCTATTATACAAGGGTAGCATGATTTGTTTTTTTTTTCTTTTTTGACTTAATCTTTATTGTATTTTTTCCCCACAGATTCCCATAGTTCCATAAAAACTCTTGAACAACGAGGTCTGACCAGCTTCCAGGAAGCTGGCCTGGACAGCACAGGGAGGTTCGCCGCCCCTCCCCCATGCCTTGCCCCGTGCCTTTCTTCCCCCTGGCTGTTTCTGAGTTGTATCCTTAACGATAAATCAGTAAACGTAAGTAAATGCTCCCCTGAGCTCTGTTAGCCATTCCAGCAAATTACAGAATCCAAGAAGGAGGTCATAGAACCTGATCTATAGCAGGTGGGCCAGACATGCCCCTGACAACCTGGGTTTGCAGCTGGCCTCTGAAAGTGGGGGGCATTCCCAAGGGGCTGAGTCTTTAACCTGGGGGCTTGATGCTATCTCCAGGTAGACAGTGCCAGGACTGAGGTGAATCTGTGCACCCCACTAGTGGGTGTCACCTGAGAATTGGAGATTTGCCGCAGGAAGATCTCTCACAGATCTGGTGTCAGAACATTGAGAGTTGGAGGGAAAATGCACTTCCATTGCAGATGTATAAACGGAAAGGCCACTTTATCAGGGCTCATGGATGACTATTCTTGCACAAGTTCGAAGAGGGCCTCGCCTTCCTGTAGAGTTGAATTGTAACCGGAAACTTTCTGGAGAAGGTTGTGCCCACGAAAGAACACTCAAACCTGCAAAAGATTTTTATAAGACCTTATCTGAGTCGAAACTGATGACAATTTCCCAGAAGCATGGTCGAAAAATGCTTTGGAGAGTAATTAAGGAGGTAATGTAAAGAAAATGACGGGAAGGTGGAGAAAGCAACCAGGAGGTCAGATTTCAGGACAGTTCGGATGACGTCAGGGTTTAGAAGGAGGGGCGTGAAAGGGAGCGGTTGGAAGGTGTGCCAACCTAGACAAACCAAACCACGGGCTGCCTTAAGGCAAAGATAAGGCTTTCACTAAAGAAGTTGTGTGACTGCAGTGTGACCGCCCAGCACGACCTGCCCGGGTAGGAATCTATGATCAGATCACCCGTGAGGTTCCTTCGCCTAGAACCCGTTTTTCATCCACACGTGGAACCGAAACTGAAAGAGTCATACGTGTACATTCACCGTTCATTTACTATCCGATCATTCTACCTTGGAGACAAAGTGTCTCATCTCATAGGGCCTACGTGGCAATAAAAGGGACTGAAGGTAAATAGGAAACAATGAACAAACAAGGTAATTCAAATACTATTACGAGGTACGAAGAGCGTAAAGCAGGGCACTGTGGCAGTGAATCAGACGTTTCATTTGTTCCCACATTCTTGGCTGACCGGTCTTTCTACACTCCGTGAATTCCTGACTCCAGAGGCAGAATAACTGAGACCTTGGCCCAGGACATGACTCCCTGGGGCAGTGCTTTAACGGGGGCTTTGCCAGCCAGTCTGAGGGCGCTCCTTGCTCACAGTCTTCCTTCAGAGCGAGCCGCACACCTGGTGCTGGGGAGCAGCATGGGGCACTGACCAAGAGCACGCGCTCCGCCGCTGGAGCAGGGACCGGGATGCGCACTGGGTGTTACTCCTTCAACAAATGTTCGTCGAACATGTATTATGTACCAGATACTGCACTGGCCTAAACAGCAATGGTGAACCACATGACGTCCTTGCTCTCATGCAGCCCGGGTGGCAGGCCAGGTTGCAGGTTGGGGGTCCATCCCTTCCCCTTTTTCTGAAAGTAAGTAAATCTAAAAAAATTAAAATAAAAGGGGTAAGAAGTACTATGAAGAAGAATGAAAGCAGTGGACTGGGAATAGAGTCCTGGAGTGGTTGCTATTCTGAGAAGGGTAACTTGGGCACAGTCTTCCCTAGGCAGTGACACCGGGGACCTGAATGAAATGAGGGGGCCAGCCATGAGGATGTTTGAGAGAACGGTCCAGGCGGTGGGAAGGCCAAGTGCGCAGGGTCCGAGCTGAGAGCACGCCTGGCGTGTCTGAGGATCAGCCAGGGGGCTCCGAGCTGGAGCGGGGTGGGCCCGGGGGAGCGGATGTGAAGTGGGGTGGGACACGGAGACTGAAGCCGGATCGGGCAGCGCCCTGTTGGTCACGGTAAGGATTTCCTATTGCGCAGTAGTACCCCCCTTCATCTGCAGGGGGTATGTTCCGAGACCCCAGGGGGTGCCCGAAACCACAGGTCACACCGAACCCGATGAGAGCCCCTGCTTTCCTGCACATGCCCACCTTGTCACTTGAAAGAGGCACTTTACAGCTTCTCCTTGGCACATCGAGTCACTAGCACCCTTACTCTCACACTTTGGGTTCACGATGAAGTAAAATAAGGGTGACTTCCACACAAGCCCTGCCACCCTGGGATGGCTGATCAGCAAATGTTAGGCCCGGAATTAGATAAAAGTAGCCAAGAGGAACCCGAGGCAGGCTCCAGACTGTCTCAGCAAGGAAGATAGAAAGTACAGAAAGTACAAAGAGTGCTGAACAAGATAAACCGCCTTGTGCATGACCTTGTCTTTGCAGAAAAGTATCCATTGTTGCAAGCAGAGAACATAGCCATGTGTGTTCTCTTGAGATAGCCAATTGCTAACAGCTACGTCTGCTTCTGTGTTTGCTTGCTTGCTCACCCCAATAAAAACCCCAGGCTGTAAGCGCCAGGCGCGACTCTCATCTGCAGCCATTTTGGCACCGTGTCTCCGGAGACACCCCGAGAGTTCGCCCCTGTGCAGGTAAAAACTTTGAAACTTTGGCCAATAAAGTTCCATCATAAACTCCTGAAGGCTTCCGACATTTGTTGCTCGCATTGGGGTATGTTACACAAACCAAGAGAGCCACTGGGTGACTAACGGCAGAACAGAGACGTTGGACAAAGGGAGGGTTCACAGCCTGGGCAGGACGGAGCTGGACGGCATGAGATTTCCTCGTGCTGCTCAGAACGGCGTGCGGTTTAGGACTTCTGAATTGTTTATTTCTGGGATTTTCCATGTAATATTTTTAGACTGCAGGTGAGCAGGGGTAACTGAAACCGTGGGAAGAGAAACTACAGATAAAGGGACGATTGCACCCCAGGTCAACTGGGAAGTCGTCGGAGGCTCTGACTCAGGAGTGACTCTGCCTTAGTGATATTTTTAAAGGAACCACCTTGACTCCTGGGTGGGGATAGATGTCGGGGCCACAGTGGAGGCAGGCTGGCCAGAAAGGAAGTTGAGGCTGTTACCAGACAGGAACTGAGCCCAGAGCAGGTCTGCCTCGGGCCAGCCAGTAGTGTGTGGGCTCTTGACTTTGTGCGGGAAGGATGTCACAACGGGAGTCCAGGTGATTTATAGGATTGTTAAAGCTGCAATCAGTGAAACGAGGAAGGGCTTAAGCAGGAAAATGCAACAGGACAGAGCGTAGGTGGGGCTGCTTTGGCTCTCTAGAAGAAGTCGGAGAAAAGGGGCCCAGGAGACAGGTTCGGGGAGTAGCCTGGGATGAGCTGCTGCCGCCAGTTGCTCCCCTGGTTACCAGCCTTGTGGGGACCCCGCACACCTGAGAGGGAAGGAAGGTGTGGCGTGCTCCCTCCAGGGAGGGCACATCCTTGGTCCTTCATTTTGAGGGTTTTAAAGGCTGGGGGTTTAGGAGGCCTTAGGGGAGGATCTCAATGGATTATTCACCGGCTTTATGCTGATGCGCCAAAGTGAGATTTATTCTCTTAACTTTATCCATCCTTGGGTGCGGTTGGCCCAAATGGCGCTAACTGGATTTCTACCGTCTACCTCCCTGAGCAGGGTGACTTAAGCTTTTCACTCTTAAAGGTCCTTTGGTTTGGGGAAGACAGGATTTTTTGATTTACTGACGGCTATAAACTGCCTGGCCATTTACCTACCTAATCAGTCCCAGTCTCCCAATTCCACTTGTCCAGGTTTACTAGCCTGTCTCAAGGCAGCCACGAACAACGTGGTTTGGACTACTGCAGCACTGCTGGAGGCACCAAGAAGCAGTTGGATTCTGCTTTTATACAAGGTGGCACCCACATGGGACTGTGGCTAATAATGCTGCTTTCATGTAGCATGGGGATAGCCATCTGGCCTGGAAGTCCCCCCAACTATGACCTCTGCTTCCATTCAAGGTCTCTGCCAACCCAGCTGCCTCTCCCACCTCTGCTTGTCATCACTGAGGCACAGGAAGCCTCCGGGTCCTCAACGGGCAATGCACCAGCTGCGGAAATCCGGGGCGCTGCCACCAGCTCCCCATCTCTGTGCGCCCACCCCACCTTCACCCCCTGCCATGGCTCCTGATCCAGGTGGGAAATAGCAGGCTGATCTGGAAGCCCCCAGAGTGTGCTGCTCAGCCTGATGTTTTTGGACTCTCTATACCTACTCTGACACATGGGAAGTTCCACCTCCTTTGAGAGCCTCTGGGGGTTTGGGAACCACAGCCTTTGACTCCTAATTTCTGCATCTCAGAAATCCTCTCCAGGTAACATACCCTCTTTCCAGGAGGACACCTCCCTCAGGTGAAGTTCATGAATTGGCTGCAAATGTTAAGAAAGAGATAAAGGGATTTAGAAAAATCCTCTTTACTCTTAAAAAATACATATTGTATTGATTATGCTATTACAGTTGTCCCATTCCCCCCCTTTATTCCCTTCTGCCCTGCATACTGCCTCCCACCCACATTTCCCCCCATTTAGTTCATGTCCATGGGTCGTACATATAAGTTCTTTGGCTTCTACATTTCCCATACTATTCTTAACCTTTCCTTGTCTATTTTCTACCTACCACTTATGCTACTTATTCCCTGTACCTTTCTCCCCTCTATCCCTCTCCCACTCCCTGTTGCTAACCCTCCATGTGATCTCCATTTCAGTGATTCTGTTCCTGTTCTAGTTGTTTGCTTAGTTTGTTTTTGTTTTTGTTTTTTTAGGTTCAGTTGTTAATAACTGTGAGTTTATTGTCATTTTACTGTTCATATTTTTGATTCTTCTTTTTCTTAGGTAAGTCCCTTTAACATTTCATATAATAAGGCCTTGGTGATAATGAATTCCTTTAACTTGACCTTATCTGGGAAGCACTTTATTTGCCCATCCATTCTAAATGATAGCTTTGCTGAATAGAGTAATCTTGGATGGAGGTCCTTGCCTTTCATGACGTTGAATACTTCTTTCCAGCCTCTTCTTGCCTGCAAGATTTCTTTGGAGAAATCAGCTGATAGTCTTATTATGGAAACTTCTTTGCAGGTAATTGTCTCCTTTTCTCTTGCTGCTTTTAAGATTCTCTCCTTATCTTTCATCTTGGATAATGTAATTATGATGTGCCTTGGTGTGTGCTTCCTAGGGTCCAACTTCTTTGGGACTCTGAGTTTCCTGGACTTCATGGAAGTCTATTTCCTTTGCCAGACTGGGGATGTCCTCCTTCATTATTCATTCAAATAAGTTTACAACTTCTTGCTGTTCCTCTTCTCCTTTTGGCACTCCTATGATTCAGATGTTGGAATGTTTACAGTTGTCCTGTAGGTTCCTAAGCCTCTCCTCATTTTATTGAATTCTTGTTTCTTCATTCTGTTCTGGTTGAATGTTTATTTCTTCCTTCTGCTCCAAATCATTGATTTGAGTCCCAGTTTCCTTCCGGTCACTGTTGGTTCCCTGTACATTTTTCTTTATTTCACTTTCCATAGCCTTCATTTTTTTCTTCTAATTTGCGATCATATTCAACCAATTCTGTGAGCATCCTGATTACCAGCATTTTGAACTCTGCATCTGATCGGTTGGCTAGCTCTTCATCGCTTAGTTGTATTTTTTCTGGAGCTTTGATGTGTTCTTTCATTTAGGCCGTTTTTGTTTTGTCTCATCGCACTTGTTAGTAAGGAGCAGAGCCTCACGTGTTCACTGGGGGGGGGGCAAACATGTCACTGTGTTGTGATGCTGTCTGTCGGGCAAGGGTCTGAGAGGGAACAGTGCTGCTTGCTCTGCTCTCCACCAGATTTCAGTCACTTCCCCCACTTCCCACAAGCAAAGTGGGCCCTTCTGGTGCTGATTCCCAGGTGGGTGGTTTGTGTATGTTCTAAAACCCCGGGGGTCTCCTCAATGAACTCTCCTGTGGGGCTGGGAGTTTCTCCTGCCTCCTCAACCCCCACAGGTGTTTTTAGTCAGAGGTTTGAGGCTTTATTTCCCCACTGGAGCCCTGGGTTGTGGGTCTGTCTCACTCCCCAGTTGTTCCTTCTGGTTTATTCTCACGAGAATGTGGGACCCCTGGTCTGACAGCCGCTGCTTCACCTTGAGTCCTCTCTACCTAGCTGTCTGTCTCCACCCCTCCTGCCGGTCTGGGTGAGTGTGTCTTCTTTAACTCCTTGGTTGTCAGACTTCCATACAGTTTGATTTTCTGTCATTTCTGGTTGTTGTTTGTGTTTAAATTTGTTGTTGTCCTTCTTTTGGTTGTGTGAGGAGGCACAGTGTGTCTACCTATACCTCTATCTTGGCTGGAAGTTGTCCTTTTTACTCTTGACAAAGCTCTTCCATGGATTTAATAATCTTACTATGGAGATTAAAAGTGGAAAGTTCAGCCTTTTTTTTTTATCATTCTTACATTAACAGACTAATATTCTTCCCTTCCACACTCCCCCTGTCCACTAGGAAGGTCCTTCACAGGGAAATGCAAACAAGAGAAACACAGTGCTAGATTCCAAAGCATTTCTTCTCTCCCGTGATCGAACCACTTTGAGCATCTTCTTTAGATTTTCCAGGTAAAGGCGCCCAGGCCCCGGGAGCTGTCCCCACGGGGGTGGGGCATGGTGCTCACTGTCTCCTCTGCTGTGAGCTGGGCGGGTGCCAGGCCCACCCTTTCCCGGGTTGTTTGGCTGAGGAGGTTTGGGAAAACCTCCAGAGAAAATTGTTAAAATGAATCAGAAACAGGTTATCGCTGGCATGTGGAAGAGCTGCAGGTGTGGAAATAGGCAGCCAAGTATTTAGATGGAGATTTCTGAACATTCAA